AATTATTTCTGGACGGGTCGGAGGAGGCGTAGCTGAGCACGATTCTGCACCATCGCCTACCGCACCTTGCTTCTTGCCATGGCAGCCTCCGGCCCTTGTGCCGACACCGAAGTTGTTTGAGTCGAGTGGCATGGTTGGCAACCGTGAAGTTCTGGGGACAGCGGGCTGGAGCTCGAAGTTCGCATCATAGACAGGCCCCAAGTACGATACCCGGTTGACAGGGAGCAGTGACGGCGAGGTCGTCAAAACAGCGAGTGCGATAGTGAGTTGACATGGGGAACGACGAAACTGGGGGACGAGCCGGGTATAGGGGGACATGGGGAGGAGCGAAGTGAGGCAGAAAGGTTGCATAGCTCCCGTCGCGGCTATAGTTTTATCGACTGTGTTTTTGGGTTCCCGACTTGACCTTGCTTTTTTTGCTTTTAAGCTCCAGACTTTGCCAATGCTGCCGCCTCAGAGCGTTAGACCTCCCAAAACCCGAAGTGCTTCAGCTTTCCATATGGGAGTTTCCCAAAATTAGGGGTACCTTATTTTGGGGTCCTTATGATTAGGATCCTACTCCTTAGGGTACTATATTGGGGTCCCCTATTTTCGGAAACTCCCATATTGTCGAACTCAGGAGTGGCAGGCGCTGAGCTCTGAAGAGCGTGCAGAACTCGAAAGCTGCAGTCAGAGGCTTTGACTCACGTTTTTCTTGGCTCTTTCCGCGGTTTCTGGATGTGCCTCATCGCTTTGTGGTCTGTGGCCATTCTCTTTTCGGATGGTTGGGCCCAAGCCTTGCATTCGTATATTCAGGTGTTGCCAGTACAAAGATGGGGGATCTTGTTGCTGGGGGAAAGCGAAGTGCTGTCCTGGAGCCCCACAGCGATTCCGGGGAGGTTCTACAGTCGAGAAATTCAGTGCGGCAGGCGCTCCGCGGCAGACGTGAGGCAGACGCTCCTGCAGCAGAAGGACAGCACCAAGCCTAGGTTCGATTCACTGCGAAGATCCTGCGCGTGCGCCAGTGCAGATTTTCGATTCCTTTGATTCGGAGACGCCAAGCAAAGTAGTTCCTTGTCCTTGACGGATTCAGCATGGACATCGTTGACAGGAGCAGATACAGTGTCGGCAGCCAGTCCGACCTGCTCCACAGCCTCTTGGTTTGCCGGGGTAAGCCACAGAACTAGTGACTCCCTGCATCATGTGACGGCTCCCTCGCCTGATTTCAGTCTTAAGGAGTTTGCAACAGCTCCACGCTGCGCTAAGCCCTTGCGCTCTGCTAAAATCTAGAAGTTGAAGGATCTTGCCGGTTCTTGGGGATGCAGTGCAGACTTTTCAGGACAAGGTCGAATCCCCTGATCCCACGACCAACATGCATGAGTAATGCCACAGTATAATGCAGGTAGATCTTGATTCCTGAAGCCTCAACGGTCTCATTTTCTAAGGACGCGTGTCGGCGCGAAGCACAAGCCCCTGGCGGTCCCAGTGTTCCCCGCCAAGAGGCCGCAATTGCACCTGCAACATGCTTCGCAATTTGGGGGTCTCAACTCCAAGATTGTTCCACCGCCGACCCACATACCGGTCTGGAGCTACTCTTGTGCAGGCCGCCGCTGTATAGCCCTGCCCCTTCAGCTCTCATCTGCAAGCCCACACACACACCAACCACCGCATGGAATTCGTTCGGGTCGGTTCATCTCGGGAAGTGAGCAGCTTCGGTGTTGGAGCACTAGGGATGTTTTCTGTGGGGCACATGCTGCTGAGCCCAAGTTGGTGATTCGGCCTTGCTCAACTTAAGCCTGCATCGCAGATGGACCTAGGATCCAGCCCTTAACACCTATTCCAAAGCCATCGGGCCAGTGGCAGGGCGGCGCCCGAAGGCTGTTCACGAGAGGAGCTTCGGGAGATCGGATGTGCCGGGTGAAGGGTCCAGGGTCCGGGTGCAGTGAGAGCTCATGACCGCTCGCTTTGTTCACAAAGCTTCTTGTTCCGATGTGTGTCACCTGCCAGGACCTGGAAGATAATCTTCGACGGCAGGCCTGCCGGGTTGCACAACAGGATGGTCGAACAGGTCTCGATCTCTTTCTGGGTGCCTATTCGCTGGCCGGGCCCTCTGACTCTCCCGTATGAGCCGTCAGCCTTCCCCTAAGTCTGGAGAAAGTCCGCGCAACGACCAGCAGACTTGCCAAGCCGCAGGCCACGGCCGCAGCCAGGCCCAGGCCTTGTGGAGATCTGGAGACGGTGCCTGGCCTCGGTGCTTCTTTGGGCACTTCGATGCAGCTTCCACGAGGGGCCCTTGCGGCTTCGAGGGTTGCAGACACCTTTCTTGGGAGCGCTGTTTGTCCATTTAGGGCCTGAGTCTCAGAATGTGCGGGCCAGCATATTTGAGGTGTTGCTCTTTCAGTGTTCTTGTTTCTTGGGCCTGCAGAGCCCTCGCTGACTCTTCGGCCGTGGGCCTTTTAGTGTTTGGGCACAGGTGAGTTCAAGCACATGCCCGCGAGAGGCATTGCAAGCCTCTTGAAAGATCACACTTCAATGCTTTAGGCCGCTCAGTTCAAGTTGACACAGTCCAAAACACTTTACCGCAGGGCTTGGCCTGGGTTTGGTTTGAAGTTCCTGAAAATCCTGAGCGATGAGAGGAAAGTGCCCAAATCCTGGGTCCCCGGCTGTCCTTTGACTGGGAGGACATCTGCAGGGATTTGGCTTTTTGCTTGTCTTTTCGGATCTCAGGGTTTCAGAGTGAGGACAAAGCCTTGCTTCGATTCCGCGGCTGTTTCTGTTTGCATCTTTCTACGCGTGGTCGGGGTGCAATTCTGTATCTTTTTGGTCTTAGCTTTTGAAGGCCTTTCGGACTGGGATGCCGCCCGTATGAGTCTTTGATTCCAACATGAGAGGCTGCTAGGCTCCGGTCTTCAAAAGAGGGTCGCGTGCAGAATAGGTTTAGTGTCGCGGACCGAAATGAAGCGAACATGCAAGCATGACAACCGTGTGGATGAGCCGAATCACAGCTTTCGTCCTTCTACCCTGCCCCAATCATGCGGGAGGGATGTTCTAGTCTTTGGGCCTCTTGACGTAGTCTAAGAGATGCTCCAGTTGCCCTGCGATGCTTAGCAGCAGTGTGCGATGCCAAATCCCAAGGTTGGGTACCCGAAAGATTAGCGCAGGGAAATCGGCTCATACCGGAGACTATTTCCCGATGCACGACCCTACGTCTCGACACGTGTAGCAAGACAAGCAGTGCGTCGTCATTGTGAGAAAGCTGATAGGTTTTCCAGCACAAGGTGCGCTTCCGAAATTCAGGGGAAGTGCAAACTCGAATCTTCTTGCATTGCGCCAGCTTCTGTTAACAGCCTGATTTGACATTTCCATTCTACAGAGACGGTCGGCCTCCAGCCCCGCTTGCAGCTTCATTGGGCGTTTTGCCGGGCTTGGGCCCGTGGCCGGGCACCTCTCCAGCCTCGCTCACGTCCGAGATGTAAGAAATGCCAGCGCCAAAGCCAAAAGCCCTTCATGCTTGAATTTAAGCCGAACGGAGGACCAGGAGGAAGGATCGGCGGAGCTCATTGTCACTCCTGCCGAGGCGAGAGGCTTGCAGTAGCCGGAACTGAAAGCTTCCTCATGACATGCAGAATGCACTGACCATCGCAGAGTTTCCGGACCTTGGTTCCAAGTTGAATGGTAAGTCTGGGGTTATGTGAATGTGTGTTCGGGATACAGTGTCTGAGAGGTGATTGTCATGCAAGCAATTTGACATGTTCGGTGGAGCGAATGCATACACGTGTTATCAGCTTGTGCTGTTATTTTGTAAGGTGCATCGACAGTTCGGAAAGTGCACCGGGTGTGCAAGTAAATGGGGAAGACACTTGCCGTGTTTAGCATGGCTGCTTGGAGAGTCAGCACGCTTGCATGTGGGTGCGGCTTGCCAGCGGAGCGTAAATGACCAAATAGAAGACGAAGGCAGACAACGAACAAAACGCACTGCAGCATTGCGGATGCATCTTGTGCTCCCCGTGCCCCTGTTCGGCAGCGGGATTCTTATAAGGGTCTGAGTTGACTGCCTCAGTGTTCATGAGTGGCAGCGCGCGGGGTGCACTGTGCAAATGTTCAAGCCAGCTTCGTCGGGACCTCCAACTTTTCGCCCAGGGCGCAGACTTGCGTGAGCTCCTGAAACAGGACCTGGGAGTGCGCTGTGCGTTCCGTTGCCAGTCTGGCTACTCTCCTTCTCACCAGGAGCTTCAGCGGACAATTTCGATCCAACAGGTGGGCATCGCTCTGTAGAAGTTCGAAGGCTAGTGATCGCATGCATCTGTTTCGGGCTTTAGGATTAGTTTCAGTCCAGGCCTCGCGAATTTCAAGCTGTGTTTGTGGTTTGCACCCTCCATTATTCTTTTACTCTTTCATGGTCAGGTGGAGAGCCTGAAGAAGCAGCGGTTGGCCTCTGAGGCAGTTGCCGCAGCCAAGTGATCCTTGCCTCAGAACAGCTGCATACCGCAGCTCTTGATTCCGAGGTTCACGCAAAAGCTATAGCAAATGCTGGTTTCAAAAGGGTCTGCATAGTTAGTTGATTAAGTCGTTCCCTTCGAATCGCATCCAGAAGAGGCACGCTTCTTTCCGGAGCTTTAGTCATATCTTTTTTTGTGGGGGGGGAAGTCATTCCGTCAGTTGAAGCTACATCGCTTCAGCGAGGTTTGCCGCACCGAGGGAAAAAGTGGGCTGCAACCCTGTTGTCCTGGTGGTAGCAGCATTGTGATCGGGGGCATGTGGTGGTGCTGTTCTCCTGCTGCTACTAGCTTGTGCTTCTGCACAGTGTCGCTAAATAGTTGGGTTTGTAGTGGCTGAAATGGTACTAGTGCAGAAGTCCTTGACATCAGACATCACACGCACACAAAGCATTCTAAATCTTGTTCTTCGGTTGCTGCGATCAAAGTCAGATTGCTAGTTGTGTGCAGTTGCGGCAAGGGTGAATCCGAGTGACCAGTCTTCAACAACATGTATGGCTGCACAGGCGTGCTCGACATTTCTGCATGCTATTGGGTTTCAGCCTCGATAACAGCGACTTCATGACAGGACTGCGCGTATTGCCAGATAAGTCTGTCGAAGCATCTGGCACAAGAACAGGCTGCTACTGCATCACCTCGCGACTTTTCTTAGACATGTCTGCGCCAAGGCAGGTTCAGATGGATTCCATCGACGAGACCCAGGTAGCTCACATTCCAAAAGCGAACATCACAGTCTTCGAATCATTTTACTCCCCTGGACCCCTGGACCCGGAGAAGGATTTGTTTTGAGTCGTAGCAGCTGCAACCACCTCGAAAAGCTCCCTGCAGGTGATCGTACACCATGCTTGCTGCTGTTGCTACGACGGCTGCGTCCCAGAATGCAACAACATCGGCTGCGCTGCGCAGAAGACTCTCCTGTGCTGTGAAGCTGACATTTGCTGCAAGACCGGGACACCATTCTTGTGCTGCGGATGCTGTGCCCTCCGCTGTGTGGCCCCTACGACCTGCTGCAAGGTGCAAAGCCAGATGTGTTGCTGTGTGGCTGGATCTGCTCTCCCTCCGGACTCCGAAGTGCCCTGCATGGTGAACATGTGCTTCCTCAACTGCTTCCCCAAGCTCGGCATCTGCGTCAGCCTCGGGGACATGAAGAAGGGGGCCTCCATGCAGTTTCAGTCAGAGAGCTCACAATCCTCTTGAGTCAGAGGCTTCTGCGATCCTCCCGCTGCCTTTTTGGGGTCTTCGAAGCGAGACCGACCCTTGAGGGTCACGTTTGCATGAACTCTTATTTAATTACCGGCAGTCCTCCGTCGGGCATAAGCCCTGTTTGGGGAAGAGCACGGCTGCAACCTGCAGAAAAAGAAAGACGAAGCGACAGCATCTAGAGGCATCACCCTCATTTACTCTCACACCTGTGCGGGAACGCACAACAAAGCGTACGTCTTCTTGCTTGCTGCTGAAGGGTCTGTTCTGTCGCTGTGATCACCTCAAGCGTTTTGCCTTCCCCACCGGCCACTTCGCGGTTGTTGCTGCGTCTGGGGATCGGGCCACTTGCTGCAGTTAGCCGCAGATTCCATGTTAGGCTCTGTGTACATGGGCACTCTCTGGCCAACCTGTACTGCTGGGCAGGTGCAAGGGTCCCGGATTACAGAAACCAATGGTAGGTCGGCACGTTTTCTAAGTTGAAAGCTGCGACGGGTGTCAGTACAGGCACTGGGAATCGGTGATTTATGTGTGTGTGTGTGTGACCGGACTTCAACATGAGCGAGATGTCTTCGGCCAAGAGCGTCTGCGGCAAGAAATGCCAAGACCCCTAACTACCAACCGCAACCACCTGAGAATGCTGGTGTAACGGACAGCACCATGTAGGACTCCTTCCGGGCGCAGCTGCGTGGCGGCAATGCGTCCACGTAACTCACTAAGCCATGCCTCCGCAGGGCTCCTGTACCGTGCCTTGGCCAGAGGCCATGTCGAACAAGATCTCTGCGGCGGCGCTGCTGCAGCTGGCAGACCAGTTTGACCGGCAGAAGAAGCCGGGGAGCCGGGCATTGCATCAGCGAAAGCCATATCACCAATTCATAGCTGGACACTGGTGTGCACGCAAAAACAGCAATGAATCGGTTTTTGGTCCAATGCTAGCATGAAGGACACTGGCTCATCAGGATAGTCATGACTGGTAGCGACTGGTACCAGTAGTAGTGATAATAGTAGTAGGAGTAGTAGTAGAAGTAGTAGTAGTAGTAGTAGTAGTAGTAGTAGTAGTAGTAGTAGTAGTAGTAGTAGTAGTAGTAGTAGTAGTAGTAGTAGTAGTAGTCGTAGTAGTAGTAGTCGTAGTAGTAGTAGTAGTAGTAGTAGTAGTAGTAGTCGTAGTAGTCGTAGTAGTAGTAGTAGTAGTAGTAGAAGTAGAAGTAGAAGTAGAAGTAGAAGTATTTGTAGATGTAGCTGTTGATGTTGATGTAGTTGTCGTCGTGATGGTAGTGGTGGTCGTCGCAGTAGTAGAAGAAGAGGAAGCAGCAGCCGTGAGGTAGACTTTGTACGGCTTGCAGTATCTGGCAATAGCCATGGTCGTTGAAAGAAAAGAAGGATACTGGCACTTCCCAGGTTCCGTCGCCGTCGCATCGACAAGCGCCTTGGCAGGACCCGCGCTTTTCATTGCAGCTTTCGTGACGGGGCGCGAGTCGCGCAAGCTGCAGAGTCTGCAAGAGTCTTCTTTTTGAGGATTCCGAAGGGCCAAGAGTCGCCTTTCGGCGACTTCCCGGAGGACTTTGTCAGGCAGCGAAGTGGGCTCAGAAGGTATCTCACGATTCACGATTCGCTGGGCTTCTGCTGACATTGGTCTTCGCGAATTTGCAAAAAGTTGGACGGTTGCATGCATGCTGCAGCGCAAATAGCAATAGCAGACATATTCCGAATCTGCCAAGCTGCCCTCTTCCCAACATTGCCCAAGCCAAGACTTAATCGAAACCGCCTCAATCTCGAAGCCCTCGAGTTCCATGGCAGACCCTCCTTTCCTGCGCCGCTCTCGGCGCGAGCATCCTTGGCGGCGACAGCACCGCTGCCGGGCAAGAGTCAGGCCTTCACATTGTGTTTAGGGAGGATGTAAAGGCGGCATTCTGGCTTCGATTTGTTTTGAATGTCAGGGTAAAGGTTCAGATGGGTTGGTGTTTGGATCCCTGGGTTTGGGTTTTGACTGCATGAGCTGGGTCTTAGCTGGCATCGGGCCGCAGGAACGAGGCATGTACGGAGCCTGGGTCTGCGGTTCTCAGTTCTTCAGGAAGAGGTACTCGTGCGCAGTGTGCTGTGTTCGAGCCTAGCGCGAGAGACCCTTTCAAGAGCGGAATTCTCTGACTGAAAGTGTTTGCCTTTTCGTGCGTGGGCCAGTCTTCACTTGGATTCGGCTTGGCAGCTGTGGGGCGAGAGCCATTGATGAAAGCAAAGGGGCATCGTTGTCGTCCGCGCCAAAGTCAGAAACCTTGACTGGAGGACCCAACATCTCTGAACCCCTGAACCGCGGAGAATCGCAGGATACGAGTCCGCGCCAGGGCGCCGCAGATATCCGTGGGAGGCCTTTTGGGAGATTCTACATGGGTTGAGCGAGCTACAATACGAGTGTCGACTGCCGACACCGACTTTATCGGACACTGAGAAAAGCAGGAATAGCCCGGGCAACAAGACAAGATCACAAAGCATAGTGTAGTGGTAGAGGTAGTGGCAGCGGTGGGGGTAGCGGTCTTGCAGTCGTCGATCGTAGCAGTAGTAGTCGAAGTCGTAGTCGTAGACCTCGAGTCGTAGTAGTAGTTTTAGTCGTTGTGGTGGTGGTGGTAGTAGTAGTAAGTAGTAGCAGTCGTCGTAGTAGTAGTAAGTAGTAGTAGTAGTAATAGTAGTAGTCGTGGTAGGTAGGCAGGCAGGCAGGCAGGCAGGGAGGTAGGTAGGTAGGTAGTAGTAGGTAGTAACAGTGCCAGTGGTAGTGGTGGTAGTAGTAGTAGTAGTAAAAGTTGTTGTTTTTATTTTATTGGCTTCTACTACAACGATTAACATCACCACCACAACCTACCACTAGCAATCACACTGGTGCTGTTTCTGCTACTGCCGCTGCCACTGCTACTGCTACTACTACTACTACTACTAATACTAATACTACTACTACTACTACTGCTACTACTACTACTACTAAGGGTCTCGGCTGGAGCTTAGCTTGCAGGTAGCTCCTTTTCACAACATGGGGCGGATCGCACTTCTGACTTTGGTGATTGTGCGAATCATGCAAGCTGGAATTACGAACGACAACAGCCAGCCGTGCAGGTCCCAAGTCCTGCAGCAGTCTCCAGAACCGCGGAACACTGAACATATTAAGGCGACTGCAGACCCGAGGGTTGGGCACGCGTCCAAGGCGTGTCCGGGAGTCCAAGCACGGACAAAATTTCTTGGTGAGGATTCTACACCGAGTGCACTCACTAGAGCGAGAAAGCGTGCATACGGCAGAGCATGCCGGAGGGCACAAGAACATGGAGGCACCATTTTTCGTGGCAAATGGTGGACTTGCCACCAGTTGATGGGTGGACATCGAAGCAACATGCTGGCCAGCGGGTTTTCGATGGGCGAAACAGTCCATGCGCGGAACGAGCGCAGATTTGAGCAGAAGACCCAGCGCCGACTTCGAGTCGCCACGTACAACATTGGAGGAGTTACTGCAGAACTGTATGACACCCTGTGCCACTGGCTCAAAACTCAGACAACCACTGACCTTATCTTTCTGCAGGAGGTATCTTTCTGCAGGAGGTTCACTGGGGCTTGGGTAAGCAGGAGGGCACGTGGGCAATCCCTGGCTGGTCGTTCGTTGTCTCCCCGGACGAGGCGCATCGACACAGTGGGGTGGCTGTCCTTATCTCTCAAAAAGTTGCCTTGCCTGAAAAAGTAACTTTTTGTGCTTGGGCCCATGGCAGGATTCTCCAAGTTAGGCTCGAATTAGGTGATGTTTGTGTTGACCTTTTCAGTGTCTACCAATGGGTACGTAGTGACAAACATGCCAACAGAGACGCATTGCGTGCGCATGTCTGGACAGTGCTTGGTCGTGCAGTTGCCAGTGTGCCGGCGCGGAATCTACTTATAGTTGCTGGGGATTTCAATTCGAGCTTGGGCCCGCACAGGCAACTGGTTGGCCGAGGGGTTCTTGCGACAAATGCCAGTAGTGATACTGAGATGATTGCTTTTCTCGAAGCGCATAGGCTGTGCGCCCTCAACAGCTGGGGCCGCTCCCGTTCCGTCTATAGTGCTACCTATCAGAATGGAGAGCAAAGATCACAACTGGACTTTGTGCTAACCAGGCTGCCAGCTGCTGATCCGTGTGCAAGAAAGGCTAAGCCCATAGCACTGGACCTTGCACCTTGGCGACATGGCTCCAAGCACAAACCTGTGATTGCTAGTGTACCCTTGGCTGCGGGATGGTGGCTCAGCCGACATAAACCCAAGCAGACCCGGTATGACAAATCTTCCCTCCAACAGGCCCTCAAAGCCCAAACACCCGCAGCGCAAGCCTTTGTGCATGAGGTCCGACAAACGGTGGAGGAAGCTACTGGTCATAAGTCCCTTGCTATTCTTAATAAGGATCTCCAGACTTTGTGTAGTCGACATTTCCCCTCTAGATCCCAGCGCAAAACTAGGCCAGGTGAAACATCGGAGGTGGTTACTAGCATTCGTACCATGTGGCAAGCACACCGTGCTATGCGCTCCGTACGCCGCGCTGGACCTAGGAGTAGGCTTAGTCGCATCTTCGAGGCTTGGAGGCTATACAGAGATTTCCAAAAGTCCTGGCGTGCACTCCGTACGAGCAGCCGCACTGCACGCCGACGCTGGTTAGAAGATAAAATTCAGGAGGCCCATCAGGCTGCCGAGAGAGGTGACCATCAAGCAGTGTATGCAGTAGTTCAGTCTATTGCCCCCAAAAGACGACATGAACCAGTCAGACTTCGAGGACCTCAGGGACAACTTCTCACCAGCGCACAACAGATGCATGCAGTGAGCACGTACTTCGAGACTGCATTCGCAGATCTGCCCCTGCCGGACTACATCCCCACTAATGCTGACCCCGGGTTTAGTCTCCAGGAGGTGGAAGAAGTCATTAAATCCCTTAGGCCTCGTAAGGCGGTTCCTGTAGGCTGTGTAGTAGCAGAGGTGTGGCAGACCTGCCCAGCGGCTTTCGCCGCGTTTTTTCTCCAGGAGTTCCAAGAACACCGCCAGCGAAAGGCTCTTCCGAGCAGCATGACCGACTGCGGTTTAGCACTCCTTCCTAAACCCAACAAACCCCAGCGCCAACCCAGCGACCCTAGGCCCCTAGGGTTACAGTGTCCTTCCAGTAAGGTTCTAGCCTCCCTGCTTAAAGGCCGCCTGGCCGAAATAGCCACCCCCTGGCTACAGCAGAAACCGCAGTTTGCCTATATCGCTGGTAGGTCATTGGACGAAGCGCTGTGTAGGGTTTTCAGTTGTAATGACAGAATCCGAAAGCAGCTTAAAGCAGGCGTGCGCACGGTGCACGACAGTCGTGCGGGCCGAATTCCCACACAGTGCAATGGCGGAGCCGCCTTGTCCATTGATCTTAGTCGAGCGTTCGATGTCGTGCCTCGCTGGGCGCTCACGGCATCGCTACGCAGCGCCCAGGTGCCCGAAACCCTAATCAATCTGATACTTGATATCCACATGCAATGCAAGTACCACATCAGTCTAGGATCACAGCAGGCCACCTTTCCGATGCAGCGTGGAATAAGACAGGGGTGTACACTGTCACCCCTGATTTTTGCTGTTTTCACGGGGTGGTTGTACGATCAGCTGTGTGAAAGGGTCGGTCAGGAATGGGCCGATGAATTCGTGACGCTGTACGCTGACGATTTCTTGCTGCAGTGGCTGCTGACCACCACGAGCGACCTTGACTTTCTTGGTCGCTGCGTAAGGGCTATTTTCTCCCTGCTGGTGGATGCTGGAATGACGGTGAATGCAGCTAAATCAGCTAAATCCAAGTTGTTGTTCAAGGCTCAAGGATCCCAGGCTAAGAAGTGGCTTAAGATGCACCTTGTCAAACGTCCCGATGGCCCGGCTATTGACCTTGGTACCCCAGCTGCCCGACTCATCATTCCTACGGTCCATCGTTTCACGTACCTAGGGGTTGAAGCCTCGTTTGGCAATTTCGAAATGCAAACCTGCCAAAGCCGCCTCCGTGCTAGCGCCAAAGTCAGGCACCGCATTCTCAAAGTGCTGCATAGCTCCCAACTCCGACTGCGACACCGCACTATGCTTTACCAAGCCTGTGTACGTAGCTCCATGTTGTTCGGGCAACATGCTGTTGGTGTCACGCATGCTGTGCTACGTAAGCTCGAGTCCTCTGATGCCAGAAATCTCAGGGCGCTAGCAAAGAGTCCGGCGCACCTGTGGCATGAGCCTACGGTCGATCTCCGTGCCAGGCTGCATCTGCGCTCAGTCACAGAAGTGCTGGATAAACTCCTTACAGGTCGATGTAGTAAGTGCACAGATGCTGCTAGCATAACCTGGTTTACTAGGCAGCAGGGCCGTACTTCGAACGGACCAAAGCACGATGCAGACGCAGACCCTGCAAGTGATTGACCCGTCCAAACAGGTGGCATGCGACATTTGTGGACAGTACTTCGCTACCAAGCAACAGGTCAAACAGCACTGCACGCGTAAACATGGGGTTGTTACCGTTGCCTCGCAGGCCGTTCATGCACAATGGCGCAGCCACATGATTGACGGCATGCCACACTGTAAGCACTGTCTCCGTAGCTTCACAAGAATGGAGGGTTTCCGTAAGCACATCAAAAGTGGCTGTCCGGCAATGCGCGGACCGGATTCAGTGCAAACCACACTCCCCGCTGGTGAGGTGCCAGAGGGGGGAGCGGGGCCGCTTGGGCATTCGTGCCGGGCCTCGCATGCACACGATACAGTGGAATCCAATGTACCGCTAATTCAAGATGCTGCTTTTCAACAAGAACTCAGCAGAGGCTGGAAACAGGTCCTGCGTACGCCGCGTTTCTGCAAGAGCCTCCGTACACACTGCGTCATCTGCCACCAGTGGGTGTCCATGAATGGTCCTGGTTGCAAGCAGCATATCAGACTCTCCCACGCCAATGCATGGGCTCATAAGGCTGCAGCTGCGGATCGCTGCACGGGCTTAGGACTAAAGTTAGTCTCTCCTTGTGCCTTCTGCGACCTCCCCGTTAAGGACGTCAGGGCACACATTCCAAGATGCAGTGCGTTGTTTCAAGCGTCGCTTGCTGAAATCCTTGTTCGGAAGGACCTCTTACGCCATGACGGACATGGACCTGGACCACGCTCGCGAAGCCCAGGACCAACTTCGGGAAGTCTTGGGAGAGGTCAGGAGCCTACCGGCGGAGGCAGAGAAGGAGACGGAGGAGCCGAGGCAGAAGTTCCATCGCCCCTCCCGGCCACCAGGGGAAGGGCTGGCAGGACAAGGAACAGGGGCAGACGGGAAAGCCGAGCCAGAGCCAGTCGCAGAAATGGTGGAACCAGCAGAGCTGGAACTCCAAGGATATGGCCACGGCAACCGCGGAGCCGGACGAGGCGACGCAGCAGCTGCTGCGAATGTTGGTGAAAGTGGTGAGCCGCCACGAAGAGGAAATGTCACGCATCCGCGTGGATACCAGCTTCATGCTGTTCGTGGACTCAGAAGGAAGGCATCATCGGCCTGCTGAAAGCCACGGCAGATCGGTGGCAGGAGAAATTCGTGGAGAAGAAGGTCACTATCAGTCTCCGCGTGATGCTCTTCCTCGCCATGATCGAGGAGCTGGAGACTCGGATGCAAGCGGCCATACAGGACGAGGACCAACTGAATCGCTGCTTTCGGGTGGGCTGGATGGGAGAAGGCCCAACGGCCCTGAACCCTGTCTACCTGTACCACCGCTGGAACCCAGACAAGCAGTGTTCGGAGACCAGCGCCGAGCAACCGCTCCCGCACATGACGGCCCTCGAACATCTCCGCACTCTGAAGGAGATGGCTGCAATCCCAGGCGTGCTGATGAGATTCAGATCCACACGGCCACTGACCAAAGACCCCAAAGGCGAAGTGGTACCATTTCTTCTTTCTTTGTCCCTGCGGTCGGATCACGCGGACCGGTGCTACAAAGCACTCTGGGCCCTGAGCGGCAACGCCTGCATGAAGCTGGCGGGAATCCGGCTCCGACCGGAACGCGGCCAGAAGCAACCGATGACGAAACTTCTGGAAGACGCCTACCTCAATGTCTCCTACACCGACTGGACCCGGCGGGAGACGACCTGGTCTGCGCCATCCCAAGCGGCGAAGAGCAGCGATCCGAACCAGTCAGAGCCGACGGGATAGGCAGGCCCAGCACTGCATTGCAGAATCATGCGCATCACACCCTACTGCCTGGATCAATACTTGCCAATTCTAGTAATGTCTGCTATCTCAATGCTTTCGCGCAAGCCTTGGCATGGCTGGGCACGGCCCACGGCAGGCCTGAAACCTGCTACGGCAGCGGAAGGGCAGCACTGCACATGGTCAATACCTCGGGTAGGAAGTCTCTGATTGACAGTCTCCATTGGCGACCGTATCTGCGTGCTTGGCCTAACCTGCACAGGCAACAGGATGCAAGCGTGTTTCTGCACCACTTCATGCAGATTGCTCAGCCCAGTGCTTTTGTGGGACAGTGGCAGGCCAGACTCAGTCTGCCGCATGTGATCGTGGACTCAGGTCCACTGATGCTGCCCATCCTCCTGGATGTGTCGGCTGGCACCCTGCAGGCCTTAGTAGATAAGTGGGCAATGCAACATACGCGACATGCCCTTTACCCGGCCTCCACTGCAATATGGCTGCAACTTAAGCGATACCCATATGGTAGAGTGGCCCATAAAAACCTTGCCTCCGTGTCGTGCAGGCCTGCAGCCTTCCGATTTTCACCGGGGGCGAAGGGTTGGAGGTACACCACAAGCCATACCGAGTAGTTAGCTGCATTTTCCATACTGGTGCGTTTGTTGATCATGGACACTATCAGGCTGCACTCGGGGTCTGTGATGCTGGTGCCTATGGTGTGTCCTCCAGGGTTTCCGATTGTACGGCAGAATGGTCGTACCGAATTTGCGACGATAAGCGCAAACCGAGACTGGCGCGGCCAAGGGACACAGCCCACATTGACAAGAATTGCTACTTGATTGGGCTTGTTACGGATACTGGGCAGTAGCACGAGGGTCGCTTTCGGGCATACGTGCCGGGCCCTCGTATGTCTCCTTGGCTGCCTAGCTGCAAGGCCCAAGCCGTTTCCCTGCCGATGCGCTAGGGACGCAACCAGTGCTCTACGGGGTTCTCAAAACACCTCGCATCTCGCTCAGTTAATGTTTCTTGCACGAATGCCTTCGATCCATCATGTATAGAACAGTTTTGGTCCAAGCCAAACCAGCCGTGGGACCAATTGTGCTTTCCACCACGACGCAGGAGCCTCAGCTTGTGCGACGCTCTCTGCACTCCCATTGGCTCTGTTGGATGCCACCATGATGCCTGCCGATGCCAGCTCAAACCGATCAGCTGATAGAACACATGGAATCCACGTGTGAGGAACTGGATCTGCCACCGCATGTGTACTATGATCAGCTGGAGGAGGCCCTACTGCTGAATGCACTACGCAACATTGCCAGAGGCTGCGAAGTGTCAGTGCCACCCAGCCTTTCTCTTGCGGCGGTCAATGATATACTTGATATGGCCAAACACATTTTGCCGACACCTGAATATCAGCAATTGATGGCCTACTCGGTTGAGCTTGGGGAGCAAGTTGCGGGACGCATCTCAGCCGCTTTCCCACACCCTTTGACAGAAGGGGCTGCCTCCGATGCCGAGGCCGAGAAGGTTCATTATTTGCGCATGGGTACAGGCTCGCTTTGGAATGCTGTCAGACATGTCATTTCGTTGCTGCCGTTTGAACTGGTACAACGACGCCACCAGCGAGAAGGACAAAGACAGTTCGTTTGTGGGGCGTATGGGCACCACTCCTTAGTGGGACTATATAGAAATACTGCCCCTTACCAGTCGGCAATCCTGCTTATCAATACGCTGCTGTGCTCCATCTGCCCAACGCACATATGGTCCACGGTAGTTATCACCCTGGATAATGTGGCAGAACTGCATGTAGACAGGCAAAACGCGCCGCAACGGGCGCTGGTGCTTGGGATCTCGCACTTTGAGGGGGGACGCCTTTGGCTACAAAACCTGGGAGCCATGTTCCAGTCCCAATCCGGAGCTGGACCCATGCAGACTGCAGCCACCGGTAACTTCTACGACTTGAGTGCCAGAGCTTACCTCATACCAACCCACTGTCGCCTACATGCTACCGAACCCGGCTTCCTAGGCAATCGGTTTGTGGTCATCGCCTATCTGGTGGGACAGCATGCTAGCCTGTCACAAGTGCACACGCATGCACTGTCGGATATGGGCTTCTGCTTGCCGGCTTACAGGAACACAAGACCTGATGCCGGGACAGCTGCAGATGACACATTAGATATCGAGGTAGTGGACTAGTCTAGGTCCTCGCCATACTGCCATACTGCCTCGCTTTGGTGCTTCTTTGTAGCCCCTTCGTAGGACCCTGCCTTCTGCCCAAACCAGGTACAACCATGTATTGCACCAGTGTTTTCCTCCGTGCCGAGCCGCTCGGGCATTCGTGCCGGGCCGGTGCGCGAAAGGACAGGTCACTGTACAGTCACTCATAGGTGTGTAGACCTTGTCCACCGCAGCTGTGGCCATGCGTGGCAACAAAATGCAATGCAATGCTCCCCTGCAGTTCCCTGCAAGTGGAGCCATAAAATCGGCAGAATCCATGACCTGCAATCCGGAATGCAGTGTTTCTCAGGTCCCGAACATTGCTGTGGGCCGAAGGACGGAGTGAGCATGTGTTTGTGACGGGAGGAGCGTTTCAGCTTTTGCTGCAGGAACGCCAAGCAGTGTACAGCGGACTGGAGAGCAGACCAGTGATTTCCATCAGCGAGACGAGGCTGCTTGGCCACACGTGGCGGGCCTCGACCATGTTTCGCTGCCGTACGCTGGGCTGCGATGTGCATTTCCATGGAGAACGCCATCGCCACTGCTGTTCCATATGCAATTATACACAGGGCACACGACACACGGAAAGATGTTATGTGTGCCAGGAAGCGATGAGAGCGGATCCACATGCAGTGCCTCGACCAGGTCCTTGCAAACTTATCAGTGTAGCCGTTCGGCTAACTGGGGCTATCGGTCCTGCTGCTCTTCTAAGTGTTCGAGAACCAGGGGTCGCAGGCATAGTGCAGGCTGCTCTTTTCGCGCGGAGTCGGCGAATGTGCCGGATGGGACTGCTGCAAGTGGGTCCAGCGCAAATCAGGGCGGTACGACTGGGATGGGCCTAGGCAGTGCCTCTTCCAGTCTTGCCGATGGTTTCACCACTGTACAGTCGGACGGCGGAGTGATGACTGCCAGGGCTCCTAAGCTGGATCCTGAGAATGAAACTGAATGGACCGCTGGTCCCGGATTCCCTTCAGTTTCCTCGCAACCCAGTGGAGGCCAAGCCATCATAGACTTGACTCTGGACGATTCGGACCAAGATCTACCAGAGACCGCCTCAGTCACTCCAGATGCGATGGCAGGACCCAAACTCGATGAGATGGACTGAAGCTTTGTTTTCTTTGAGTGCTTTGAGTGCTTATTAGTTGTAGATTCGTTGGATGTGCAATAGCACAGCGACCACAGAGTCGCCGAGCAGTTTACTGCTTGTCCTCTTCGCAAGGCATCGACTCGGTGCAGCGCCGCAATGCAATGCAATACTACTACTACTACTACTACTACTACTACCACTACCACTACCACTACCACTACCACTACCACTACCACTACCACTACCACCACCACCACCACCACCACCACCACCACCACCACTACTACTACTACTACTACTACTACTACTACTACTTCTACCACAACGACGACGACTACTATGACTACTACGACTACCACTGCCAGTAACACTAACACTACCATTACTACTACTACTACGGCGACGTCGAAGACGACGACGACTACTATTACTACTACTACTACTACTACTACTACTACTACTACTACTACTACTACTAGACGAAGCCTTCATCCGAATCTTAAAGCCACGACTGCTGCAAATACCCTTGAATCCCAAGTTCTACGGTCCGAGTCTCTGAGCACTCGCCCACCACGACTCCAGTCCTCTGATGCCAGAAACTTCCCGCAGGTCAATGCGAGTCTCTGGCGCAGCAGCGGTGGCGCCGAAGTCAGCGAGAGGTGGGCATGAATCTAGACAAGAACCGACATTGTTTAAAGCACAGAACAGGGAGTGTTACGTATGTGTCGAAGACATGATGTACCACGACTCGGACCGCGGTGGTACAACGCAATGCAAACATGACAGAACTTGGTACGAACATGCAATGCGTGCAATGCATGGTATAGTCTGGCGCAAGGCAGAATAGAATGATGGTGTAACCAGGGATAACACAAGGTAGCAACTTACAAAAGATGTTCTGCGAAACAGTCTGTCATCTGGAAGGTGTTAGGAACAGATGGACACCGATCCTTTTGCACGAGATTCTGTGCATATATGTATATGTATATGTATATGTATATGTATATGTATATGTATATGTATATATATATATATATATAGATATAAGTGTAAAGACAAGTATGTATGCGCACACACGCACACACACACGCACACACACACACACGCACACACACGCACACATGTATATCCCGCCGTGCCGTTTATCGTCCTATGGTTTTGTCGGGTTTTATGGTTCTGGCACCATGTGGCCAGACAGGAGCGCCTTAAAGAAGTCGGTGGTTCTGGGGATTGTCGCTACATGTGTAATTCACGGGTTTTGGTTCGATATGCTAGGAATGTTGTTGTGTAGACAGAGAGATCGATAAAGTGCAACAACTAGCTTCTTAATTCGGTGTTTTGCTAGGTGTCTTTGTGGGGCCAAGAGTTAGGTTTTGAGGGCTTAAGGCTTTGAGTCTATTCCCTTGGAGTTATTGGGCCGAATGTTTTGGGGTTTAAAGTTTGCGTGGATAGGATAGGTTCCTGCCATTCTCAAGCCGAGATGCCGAAATGGCTCTCGGAAAACTGAACATGTTCATGCAGGTCTCTCCAGAAGGACTGCTCATCCCTGAGTTCAAAAAACCGAGACGTCAAGTCCAAGCAATCGACAGCTGGACTCGGAAATCAGATCCCTGGCGCGAATTCCGAAAAAAGCGACATCTGAAATCCGCAATCCGAACACGCAGAACCCCGAAAATGCTGGACACAAACCGCATGCGCTAGCATGTGGATGTACATGCATTGTGCCTTGGTAATTTCCTTATTTGGAGTTTGCAGCATGCAGCATTTACAGAACCATACAATGTGTAGTATATAAGTGAGCGCACATGTAAGGCCTGATACATATGTGCACAAACACAAACACATACTGCATCGCACAACATGCTGCATGCTACAGCGCACTGTGCATTCTAGTATGCCAAAAATTGCGCGTGCCGCAGACTCACCGAGTGCAACATGTAGGATCCCTGCCCCAAGCACTCCTCGCGCAGGTCCCAACAAGATGGCAGTTACCCTCCAGGCCCTGCGCGAAGAGGTGCCTCGAGTCCTAGGTCTAGGGCTGATTACCTTGTGGGATTCGCAGCCATCGTGCCCCAGGGCCCAGGGACATCCGGAAGCCCGGGCGAACATCGCTAAAGGACCTGCGTGAAACCCACTCAAAAACACTTTGTCCGACAAGCGTGAATCCCGGCCCAGCCCACCTACTAACGATCCTCCCGATGTCGGGTTTTCTCTTCTGTCCCCACTGGCTTGTCTTCTTGATTGCATCCTCCGGGCGGCCCCTATCCACGCAAGACCGAGTCTTTGCCCAGGTGGAGAAGCGAGCCGACACGCTCAGCCCCCGAAGTCCGGGGCACGTCCGAAGCCCTGGAAGCTTTGGGGCTCCTATTCTTTGAGAATTTTCGTTGTGTTGATCTGGGGGGAGCCTTGGGTGGTCTAGGACTTGGAGGTGCTGCAGTATGGCTTTGATTTAGGCATGGTGTTGTTCAATTCGGAACCCATTTCCAAGCCTTGACCGTCCACTTGCCCCTGAGGGTGTGCGAAGCGAGCACGACGTAATTCCGGGGACGCCTCGAAAGGCCCTCGGGGTGGTTCAGGGTTAAAGGCTGAGGGATTGGGCAGAGGTGCGATCAGAAGTTTAAGGTTGGAGGGTTTTGGAGTTTCATTATCTGAGGGCTTCTGGTCCTGGGATCCAGGGTGGAGGGTTCAAGCCCTGGCTCTTCAGATCCAGACGTTTTTGGCTTGAAGGGGACCTCCGGACTGTTCCAGAGGTGCCGGGGCTGGCACAGGAAACTCCGGGTAAGCCTCCCAGAGCACAGGCCGCACCACAGCCAGCGTCTCCACCGAAGGCTGGTGCCTTCAGGCTCCAGTGCTTGCGCAGGGCCCATGGCTT